GTCTGCGCAACCCTCCTAACCCCCAAACTCCGAACCCCCCCCCACCCCACCTCTCTTCATCCCTCTTCAAATTTCTTCTTCTGTTCTTTCATTCAACCGTCAGGACATCATGGGCTGCAGTGGACCCAGTCTGACTCGCCATGTTATCTGACTATTCACAGTGTATGATCAGGGCAAATGTATGTGCATTTATTTGCATATACAATTAAATATGTGTGTTTTTTTTAAACACGGAGGCAAGACCCCATTGAATACAATGAAAAAAAAGTCCATAATATTCTACAGTATTGGTATTAGTGAGCGAGTTTCTGTTGCGTAGGCTCCCAGACGTCCATTAGCTTATTGCACACTAGGCTCGGCAAGCCTCGTCAGAGTAAGAGGTAATTAAGTATGAATAATTAACACCAGCGGCCCCCGACTGGGAGACAGCAGAGCAGCTTCCCCATGGCAGCAGTCGGCCAGATCACACATGGTCCCCGTAGCAGTCCACTTTGTGTCCGCTCGTTCATTAGAAATACCCACGGCACAGACTTGTTGTGATCCTCACCACAGGATCCTCCACTGAGGGGGGAGGCAGGGGGCATTATGGGTATGTTTGGTTCATCAGAAAGAAAAAAAAACAGTTTAGTTACTGTATTGTCAGCCTTTTCAGCCTTTGGGGTTTGGTAAAGAAAAGTTTTTGCTAATGGCTCTTAGATATTGCATAATCTAATAGCATTTTAAAACAAAGGTGTTTTGGAAAGAGAACTTGAATCTAGTCTATACCAATATCTATATTTTGAGGTGTATATTATTTCCTGAGTGGTAGACAGAGATAGCCAGCTGTACAATGATCATTTAGCAGAGTGGCTCATTGACGTTTGTGTCTCTGGTCAATGAGTAACAACACTATCTGTTAGACCTGTGGGGTTTAGGAGTCAACAGGTAAATGTCAAGTGTAATCACCAAAGGAGAACCTTTGCCCTACATACAAGATACAAATGAGGAGTTCACTTTCATAACACTATGCTTATATGTATATATATGGACAAATCTTATAGCATCACTAAAATATAGAAGATTTTGTCTGTAAATGAGTTTATGATTTTTTCGAGTTCTAAAAGTCTTTGTTGTATACGTAAATGATTTCTCATGGAACACTTCAAATCACTGTTTTATTGCTAAAGTTAAGTGTGAATTATTTGCCAAAAGGTGGTTAGTATAGTTCATAATCATGTGTTCTTGCATGAACACTGTCAAGAATTATGCAAGACAAATATTTACATATTTACATACTGCAGAGCTAATATTTTCCTCTTCCTTTCTTCTCCTTTTTCATCCCTCTTTCCATCTGTCTGTCAGCTGTGCGGGCAGACCGCATGCGTGGCGGTCGCAACAAGTTCGGCCCAATGTACAAACGTGACCGGGCCCTCAAGCAGCAAAAGAAGGCGCTGATCCGAGCCAACGGCCTGAAGATTGAAGCCATGACCCAGGTGATGCAAGCCGTGCCCACCGACCTCACCATCTCCTCAGCCATCCAGAACATCCACTCAGCCGCATCCAAAGGCCTTCCACTGAGCCATCATGCCGGCCACCACACTGGTCATCACCACCACCACCACCACCATCATCATGCCACTGCCCTGCCCCCCACAGACTACGACCGCAGCCCATTTGTCACTTCGCCGGTCAGCATGGCAATGCCACCACACGCCGGCAGCCTGCAGGGCTACCAGGCGGCCTACGGACACTTCCAGGGTACACGCACCATCAAGTCTGAGTACCCAGACCCGTACACCAGCTCGCCGGAGTCCATCATGGGCTACGCCTATGTTGATGCCTACCAGTCAGGCTCGCCACCCAGCTTCCCACACCTGATTGTAGAGCTGCTTAAGTGCGAGCCAGACGAGCCGCAGGTTCAGGCCAAGATCCTGGCCTACCTGCAGCAGGAGCAGGCCAGCCGAGGCAAACACGAGAAGCTCAACACCTTCGGCCTCATGTGCAAGATGGCTGACCAGACACTCTTCTCCATCGTGGAGTGGGCACGCAGCAGCATCTTCTTCCGTGAACTCAAGGTAGGTTTGCATAATCCATGTGATGAGAGGGATTTTGTGTGAATGTGAAAAGAAAAGTTATGTTATTTTTTACAATCTTTTTTTTTGTTTTGAAAATCATTCCTATTGGTTAAGATAGCATATTACTGTTTAAGCTTTAATTCTATTTGCAGTTACACTGCAGGCCTTTAATAAATTATCCTGCATTTTGTTTCAATGATAAATCTTTCACCATGCTCTCATCCATAATTGAAAGTATTTACACAGTTCATGAGCATCATCTGCTCAATCCTTTATCTTCAACAGGCCTTTAATCTTCCACTTTTATGCACTGGCTCACTAATGCAGAGTACACAGGGCTGTGGGAGGGCGAGGGGGGTCTGTTCGTAGCTGCCACAACTGTCTGTCCCACTGCCTGATCAAAATTCAGCAGCCAGCTGCATTTACCCTGTGTGTGACACATTTTGGCTATGGGTTGTGAAAACTTTGACTACGGGCTTCAGGCACTTTTCATACTAACAGGGTCGAAGTCTGGGGGTTTTATGTGAACTGAAAACTGAATACCGCCCATCTCCCCTTGAAGTATTCCTCAGATCTAAGTGGGCACACACTGTGTGATGATATGTGATACTTTCCATTAGCATATTGGTAAAACAAAATTCAGAGAGCTGACCAAATCACACAGATGGTACATAGCAACAAATACTCACTTTTTAACTTTAGTTTAATTAAGGCTGTTTTGTTTTTTTAAAGATTTTTTGGGGGGGGGGTTATTGCGAGAGAGGGGATAACATGACTCAGCCTTGGTTCATGGGGTGCTAGCTCTACCAGGTGAGCTATCCAGGCACCCCAATTAAGATTCGTTATTTAAGTTAAGCCGTTATTTGTGGACATTCTTCTAAAGCATTTAAACTATGTGTATGTAATCTGCCAAGTCTATTAAAACAACACAGTTCAAGCCCGGTAAACACTGTGTCCTCTGTGAGTGTTAAGCACAGTCAATCCCAACTGACCAATAGCAACCGTCCAACAACGCCTCACTGTAAAAATGTGATAATTCCCGCTTATTCATCACAGAGCCCAAGGGAGAGTTTCTGGTGTGTGTTTTTGCGCTCGCAGCTTTATTTGCTCTGAATGAAGGTTAATGTTCAGAGCGACATGAAAGGCATTTGATTAGACTGTGCTTCACCTGTTTTTCTTCCCGTTGTCTGACTCCTTTGTCTGTTTGTTTCACATCGCATCGCCAAAGGCTCAGCTGCATATTCATGGGCCTGTTGCAAAATTCCCTCCAAATATTTAATATTATTTTGTTTTCAAAGGGGAAAATAACACATGAAATAAATGTAATATTAAAAACAGAGCCAATTACAACACAGACAAGAGTCCTTGAAAAACACATGTTGACATTTAGCATGCGTCGTGTCCCCGCTATTGACATTTTCGAGGTCTGTATTTGCATTCAACTGGGGTTCACACTACTTCACTCACACACACACACACACACACACAGGCTCATTGTAGGGTGTGGCCACAGCTAATAATTGTGTGTGTTTTGCCCATTAACTTTGAATGATCATTTTTGCTCCACTGCGAAGCCTCTCTATTTCTCACACCCTCATCCTAATTCAATTATCTCACCCACTTGTGTTTGTCACTCGCTGATTAGCTGCTGAATGAAATGTCATTATGTTTGCCTAATGACTACCCATATTACTGCAGCTTAATAGTAATTGAGCTGGGTGCCTGTTACAAAGGTAGAAAATGACCTGTGAATGCAGGAGAAACCCCCCCCACCTCCCCTCCCAAAAAAAGCCTCTCCGGCTCCTGTTGCACAAGCTCCATTGGTTTTGGGGAGGTGGGGGCGTATTTCACTTAAATGAGGGAGATAATTGAGCTAAACCCCCCTTGCCCTGTTTTTAAAGAGCCATCTAAAACACAAGAGGGATTGAAAAAGAATGCGCTAGCTGTGGCTGTGACAGTTTTTCCCACACAATCCTCTCCTCCTCGCTTGATTCTCATTAGTAACTACTGGGAGGACTGCTGAGGAAGGCTTAGTGTTGGTGTAGCCAAAATGAAATGATGAATATTGCTGTGATATACTTTTAGTTTGAAAATATCTCCCTCAAATTGTCTGCTTGTCTATTAATCATAATTGGAGAGTACTGTACTGGAGTAGTGTACTGTGCAGTGTGTGTGTGGTTATTCTGTTCTTGTGCCGGCTTTTATGTGTTTGCTACTGCAGCTCAACATCACATTACCCTGAAAAAAACGACCTCTGCCCCTGTCTACTTTATCTCCCTGTGAATATGCCTGCTTTTGTTTATGTATGTTTGTGTGATTATACAAAGGAACACATGCATGCTGATGGTTGCTCAAGCATGACAAACATTGCCAAAGATTTGGCGAATTTCCGTAGATTCTAAAAATGTACACACTTGTCTTTCTGTATGGTGCTTCGGGTAAGGCTACCCACTACAAAAAGTGTGTTTCCCATTGTTTTAACTTATGATCGTATGTTTTGTATCCACCTGACCTTTGACATCTCCTGTTAATACAGATCTGACTGTTAGATGTGAGGTCAAGCCTGGGACCAGAGAGACAGGAAGCAGAGTAGAATTAAAAGTTTGTCACAGGAGTAGTGTGGCGTTGTAGGAAGCTATATATACACTTCCATCTCACTCGCACACACACACACATACACACACATATCCACATTAAGACACAGACGCCGCTCACACATAACGCACAGCCTCTCTCACTATTATTAGCTCTGTAAGAACAAAAGAATTTCTCTGGTAATAGAGCCAAGCTGAGAGGGTGTGTGCGAGGCGTCTGCCAAAAAAAGTGTTTAAAGATTTAGTTTCCATAAGTTGGCCTCGGTCACGGGACTCATAAATATTTAGCCATTAGGAGTACCTTCTAAAGAGCTCTCTCTTTTTTTTCTAATGCGGCACGCTGCCTCTCTCTTTCTCCCCCTCTTTCTGGGAATGAGGCATGACGTGAGGGACGTTTATTTCTAACACCTTGGATCCGAGAAGTTGCGGTGGGCTCTTACCGCCAGCCTACCCCAGTTTTGATTGGTTTAACACATCGACAATTAGAGAAAGTCAGGTCTGGTGCGCTGGTTTTGAAATCAATGACTTAGTGTCATGATCACTTGTGGTTATTTTATAAATTTCTGAGTGAGCTGAAGACAGGTGTGTGTGTGTGTGT